CAGGTTCTAGATATTATGATGTGGACATTTGGGGAGGAGCATTATGCTGTCTATTACAGTGCATCCTCTGGACACCAAATAATCACATTCATTCACATGTAAAATCCATTCATATTATCTCAACATCCTCATGAATCTTAACCCATTATATAACATCAACTTAAATTCAAAATCTTGAAAACACAAAAGTCCCAAATCTCCTCATATAAATCAAGCATGAGTCAGACTTATCTGTGAATCTGTGAAACTAGAATAAAAAGTTATCTGCTCCTAAAATTCAATAATATGACAAGTATAGGGAAACAATTATAAATATTCCAACCAAAGAGGGAGAAATAAAAGATAAAAAGGGATTCAATAGACAGAAGCAATTCAGAATTGCAACTGGGTAAACTCCATTATGTTTCAAGGTCTGGGAATAATCTTTGTATTTCTCAGCTCTACCCTCTGAGTGGTCCTCAGCCCCACCTTCTGAGTCCTCATTCCTATTCCACAAAGGTTAACTTATGTTTGCAGCTCAGTAGTTTTATAACCATATTTCCTGCCTGCAGAATTTCAGGAATCCAAAAGCCTTCTTTCACTTTGTCCTCTGTCCTGTTAAGTTCAAGCTGTCAAAATCTCTGCTAATAAATCATTCTTGAAAACACTGTGGGTCTCCCACGTACGTCACAAGAATTTCCTGGATAACCCAAACTCTGCATTATAGAAGGTCTCTGCCATACCAGCATAATTCATCTCATCATAATTCAGATTTGCTTAATCTCTTCAAAGAGCCCTCTGTGTGGTTGAATAATCTCAGTTTTTGATCCTACTAAGGCACTAGAAACAAGTTATCTAGCCATGCTTTTAACTTTCTCTCTAAGTACACTTCTTGACAGTGAATCTACAAATTTCAGTGTTTTCCCAGTTTGTATAGGTTAAGAATGTTCCAACCATCAAGTCCTGGTTTCTTTTTGTTTAAAAGTTCTTCCCGCAATTTATCTCTTTCCTCCTCTCACATTTCAGTACAGGCAACAAGAGGAAACCAGGCCTTACCTCTGACACTTTATTTAGAAATCTACTCAGCAAAATATCCAAGTTCACCACCTACTAGATCTGCTTTGCACAAAACCATAGAATATAATTCATCTAGACTCTCTGCTACCATGTAACAAGTATCTCCTTTCCTCCAGTTTTCAATAACATGTTTCTCATTTATTTCTGAGTCCTTAACAGAAGTATCTTTAACATTCATGTTTATTAACATTCTCTCTACAATGTTTCTGGTATTCTCTAAGATCATACAAGTTCTACCATTCTTTCTTCTGAACCCTCACAGTAGTGACTTTCATATCCATGTCTGTACAAACATGTTTAAGACAATTAAGTAATCTCTAAGACAATACAGGTTTTCTCTATTATATCACTTCTTTCTGAGCCCTTACTAGCAGAATCTTTAATGTCTATATTTCCGTTAAAGGCAATCTAAGCTTTTTATATCATGGTCCTCAAAATTCTTCTAGCTTCTACCCAATGCCCAATTCCAAATCCATTTCTATATTTTTATGTACCTGTTATAGTAGCACTCCACTTCCAGGTACCAAAATGTGTAATAGTTTTCTAGGATTACCATTACAAATTACCACAAACTTAGTTGCTTATAATAACACAAATTTATTCTCTCATAGTTCTCAAGGTCAAAGTCTAAAATGATTCTCTCTGGGCTAAAGTTAAGGTGTTGGCAGAGCTATCAGCTTCTGGAGGCTCTAGGGGAGAATGCACTTCTGCTTTCTTAGCTTCCAGAGGACTTTTGCATTCCTTTGGTCCATGGCTACATCACTCTGACCTCTACTTTCAGCATCACATATCCTCTGATTCTGACACTCCTGCCTTTCTCTTACAAAGACCATTGTGATTACATTGGACCCACCACATAATCCAGGTAACACCCCCAATTCAAGATCCTTCAACGTTCCTTCATATCTTCAAAGTTCCTCTGCCACATAAGGTAACATATTCAGGTTGTGAAGATTAGAATGTTAGTATCTTTTGGGGGAATTATTCTGTATACCACAGCCATGTTCATTATTGACTGAATTCTGTTTAAAATATTTAACCCATATTTTCTTTTCTTTTTTTTTCCTGGTTTAATAAGGACTTGTTTATTTTGAAGAAAAAAGCTCCCAACCATCAGGCTGTTCACAAAAATAACCCACAGTATCAACTTTAGAAAACAAATCTTAAGACTATAACACTAATTATTTTTCTAGAGGATGCATTTGATATGCCAACTGTCATTCACAAAAATACATCATTACATTAGTGTTGAACTGCCACACACAGCACACTAATGTTGGGGTGTAACACACATACTTCTAACTCAAAGCTGCTTTTAGGGGCTACTCAACTAAATGAGATTGCCTTTGCAATTAGGGAAACCAACCCATATTTTCAATTACATAGTTTTAAGCACTGACACTACTGATTGACTATCTTACTGAACTAACATCTTGTCATTTCCACATTTCAAGCATTGGTTCTTTTAAAAGTTTTGGGAAGAAGAAATTTGGCAAGAGAATAAAATTATATATTGAATTATACAATTCCCAGAGCAGTTATATGAATAATATCTCGATTCATTGTTGTGGTTCAAAGTATTTCCAAAGTATGTAGTAGTTTTATTGTTGCAGGGGGAAAGCTAAAGCCCTATCACAAAACCGTAACTATTCTGGAGTTGAAAGATATCTCAGGGGTCATCTCCATTACAAAGCTGAGAAAAATAAGGCCCAGAGAGGTTAAATTATAAACCCAGTGACACAAACTCCAATAGAGAGGAGATAGCGTACAAATTTATTTTAAGGATATCTAATGACTATATAGAAATCTGATTTAACAGCAAACACATAAAAGGTGCTGCATTGTCATAAAAGGAATTTCTCAAGTTCAGGTAGTTTTTTATTTAGCTATCTGAGTTTCTCAAGTCTTGAGGCAAATGCTAATAAGGTAGTTTTCTAAACAGCTATAAGTATTTCAGACAAACCCCATCAAATTCTTAAAAGTAGATCTTTGCCAGAATGCTACACAGTATGGTTATCAATCCAAATGAAAGAGGTTCCACTGTTGTCAGCCTTATTGACTGGTTTGGAAAATCCAAATGTCTACAGGCTCTACAAGTAATGTAGTTTCTGGCTTCCTTGGAGACCAGTGCTCTAATGGAACCCTAAGATAAATATCTTGTCATATATGTGTATAGCATAAAAGTGCTCTTAAGAAAGTCAGTAAAAAAAGGACTTAAATTAAATTTTTCTGTGTCCGATGCCACCTATCCAGTTGTGCCTTATGAAAAACACCAGAACCACTTGGGTACTTTTAAAATGTTAATTTACTAAATGTGTATTTGGTTTCTTGGTTTTGCCGATTACAAGATTAGTAACATAGACTTGAAGTAGAAGTTAAGATATAAAGACTTCAGAAAGGCCAGTAAAAACTGCTATTGATATGTGAATAGGCATCTCAATAAGTAAAGTAAAAATACTCAAAGTATCCAAAATAATCAAATATTCAATATGAAAGGAAGAAATTATGTTTGCATTGACTTATACAACTAAAGACTCAACTGAGCTGGGTACAGTGGCTCACACCTGTAATCTTAGCACTTTGGGAGGCTGAGGCAGGCAGACCATGAAGTCAAGAGTTCGAGACCAGCCTGACCAATACAGTGAAACACCATCTCTACTAAAAATACAAAAATTATCCAGGTGTGGTGGCACGTGCCTGTGGTCCCAGCTACTTGGGAGGCTGAGGCAGGATAATCACTGGAACTTGGGAAGTGGAGGTTGCAGTGAGCTGAGATCATGCCACTGACTCCAGTCTGGGTGACAGAGTGGGACTCCATCTCAAAAAAAGACTCAACTATGGCTATGGCTCTGTGTGTGTGTGTGTGTGTGCGCGCGCGCGTGTGCGTGTGCGTGTGTGTGTGTATTCATGTGGGTTATCATGTGTCATTTCAATATCTTTATAATTATAATCTTATTTTGTTATAAGATATTATAATCTCAATAAATTGATATTTACAATACCTGGCAAAATTCTTTAGAACTCTTCTTTTCAGTACAATCTGATGGTAAAGAATAGAGCATAAATGTGATGTTTAAGGCTCTTTTCTCTCCATAGCCATGGTACAAATGTCTAGGTAAACGCTTAAAAATTGCATCAACAATTTGAAGGTGAGTCAAAACATAAAATTTATCATGGCTGTAGAAACAGACAAAAAATACATTGCTAATAAAATAGTTTTTCCCCTGGTAACAGAAATAAACTTCCTAATAAAACAAAAATTATAAAGAAAATGAAAATTACACCACTCAGAGATAAGCAATTTAAACATTTCACTGAACATAATTCCATACCCACAAACACATACACGTGATCTTACATAAATTGAATCTTACTTATATTACGAGTTTGAAATCAGTTTTGCTCTTTTTCTTTAAGAAAAAAGAAGGTCAGGGATATCTTTTCATGTCAATAAAAATGAAAAGTGCATAATCATTTTTAGGGCTGTAGAGTGTCCCACCACCGAATGCTCCATAATTTATTTAAGCAATCCCCCATTGTAAGACAATAATGCTGTTTATAATTTTTTACACTACAATAAACATTGATAAACATTCTATACTAATCTGTTATCCAATTCTCTCTTTAAAATAAATGTCTACAACTAGAGGAGCTGGATATTTTAAGAGTATATATATTTTAAACTCTTGCTTCTAACAAAAAGTTTACCTCTAACCCTTTTGAAAGCAATTTTCCAGAATGCATTAAGGTCCCTAGATGGATGGTGGCGGAGGGGAGTAGTCTGCTGAGCTGTGGAGGGTGGTAGGGGTGAGGGTCGAGTGGAGAGGGCAGTCTCCCTGCCCTGAGGTAGAGACTGTTGGGTGACAGAGACAAAAGGGTGTGTGATAGGGCAGGTCACAATGGGTAGGGGAGGATAAAAGTGGTCCTGCGGGTCATTTAGCAGCAGTGGATGGTTCAGGTTTGAAAGAACAGTGGGATTGGCAGTTGAGGCTGTGGAATCAAAGCGCAAAGGCTGTTGTGAAGTGGAATACCAGGCCAAAATGGAGGTCCCTCCCGAATGAGCACCAATACCTGTGTGCCTGGACATCCACGAGGGCCCCAACATCTGTGCTCCTGATAGCTCCATTAACTAAGCTGGGCATAGTCTGGATCCTGAGGACCAACTGTCTTTGGCATTGAGCAGTTGGTAATCAATACACCACCCTATTCTCAGTCACTTGGGGACAAAAAAGAAAGCCTGCACAACACTACCACTGGCCCACCTGCTAGAGTGGCCAAGGAAACAGGATACTCTTCAAGGCAAGTTAGGGAAGGTGTGGAGCTGTTGCTAGGAACTGTCTTGATAAAAGAAAGCCATGGAGGGCCAGTGTATGTTACCATATTATACAGCCGAAAGCAGCCCTGCAATGGGCATGTTTAATACCTCCATGGGAAAGCTGCAGCGGCAACTGTACAAAGGCGAGTATACTATATTCAGGTATGCACCCATGTTTGAGAGTGACTTTATCCAGATCAGCAAAACAGGAGAAGTGATTGATGTGCACAACCGTGCCCGAATGGTAACAGTAGCCATCGTTCGCACCAGTCCCTGCCTCACACTACCTGATGTCATGCTGCTGGCCCGACCAGCTGTTGTCTGTGACAATGCCAGGTGTGGTCCTGCCACCCAGGGAAGAGGTAGTCCACCTGCACAGCTCTTAGAACTAACCAGGCTGCTTCCCTTGATGTTTGTGAAAATAAGCATCCACAACAGCATAAAAAAACAGCTCCACCTGAAGCTTGCCACTGGCCGCTCTTTTTATCTTCAGCTATGTCCCCCCTCAGATGCAAGTGAAGACCTTTTTGTTCACTGGGAAAACCTTGTTTACATCCTGAGACCACCAGTGGAGGCTTACAGTGGTACCAAGGGCATCCTGGCTGGGAACACTTCAGACTCATCTATGTTTGAGGAAATGTACAGGAGCCCAATGGTGAGTGTATGCAGAGACTAGATGGGGCCAGTGGCTTTGGGGGAGAGCAGGGAAAGGTCCTATAAGAGCCTTTGGTGCTGTGGCTCACCTGGGAAATGCATTGCATTTAGAAGGGCCAAAGGCCAAATAAGCTTCCATTTGGAGGCCATGGCACATTGAGGAAGTTCCTAGTGCTTCTTCAGTGTTCCCCAGACCTGAATTTCAGAGATTTCTTAGCTGTCAGCAACTCTTCATTTTATATTCACAGCTGTTCATTTTATTTCCAATGACATAACACTATCTAAAGCATCCTGATCAGTCTACTCTGAAACACATACTACAACCTAGGTAGGCTGATATGTTGTAGGACATGTTTCCCTGTGATTGCCACTTATACACATCAGTGGCAATACAACATGCTTGCTTTATGTGCAATAATTTATTTTTGTTGTTTACCTATAGGAAGAGAAAGGAGATCTTGCTGGTCTCACTTTCTTTGCTATTTGTTCTCTCCCTAGGCATATGCCATGAAGTTCTTTGAAGAGAAGGAGCAAATCAGAATCAGTAGACTTCACATGAATGCTGAAATGTTTGGGTCCACCTATTATGATTATACAATAGAGATATGAATCCAACATACCTCCCACATATACTACATTCAAGAGTTTACATACTCCTTCAGTCACAAAACCTATAGTGCCTAATAAAGGGGCAGGGTGGCAATGGCAGTAGCAATGACAGTAAGCACCACCACAGGTGCCATGGATGTGGCTGCGACCAAGTCTGCAGACTCAGACTTGGCGAGAAACACAGCACAGCCGCCTTCAAAGGTCCAGGAGGAAATTTAGCCAGCATGGCTAGAGTTGGGGAGCTTCCATGGCTTAATCTTGTTATACTGAGGGCTACAAGGACATTCTTGTCCTCAAAGCGTACTTCAAACACATCAGTAAGTGCTATTGGCCTCTCCTTAGAGAGCAGCATGAATGTGGTGACTACAGGAGCAGAGAGATACTGACGAGGCTGTTACATTGACAGTATCTCTCTGCTACTCAAAGACTGACTCTCTGCTACTCAAAGAGTCAATATTGGGACTCCCTATCTCAACCCTGCAGAATGAGGCCACATGAGCGAATGGGATGAAAGCGAGAGGGTCTCTACCTAGCTGGACTGACTCTGCAGTAATAGCCTCAAAACCCAATACTACACACGGTGCAGAGGTGGACATCTCACCTAAGACTGTGGAGGAGAGAAACATGATTCACCATAATAAAAATCCATCAACTCAAGTTATCTACTCTAATAACACATTGTCTATTAACAGGAAGGGTAGCAATAAAACTAATGGCAATTTATAATCAGGCTCTGAGAACTATCTGTAACCTTCCCTCAACTTCATATTTTTAAATTAATAGATGACAGAGTAAAATGCTGAAGATTACTCCCAAAGATATGATCCTATATTAGGAGAATTATTGAAAAACTATTTTCCAAAATATAAAATGAGAACCCAGAAACACACACACACACACACACACACACACACACACACACACATATTTTTTCTCTCTCTCTCTCTCTCCAGGTTTGAATCATAGCATTGTCACACATTAACTGTGACATTTAGTGCATAGTTTCTTTAAATGGTCACCTTGGGACTATACATGTATAATAGCTGGTACATAGTAAGCATTGTGTAAATGGTAGTGTTGAGAAACACATTCTAAGTTTAATCATAATTTCTAGAAAGGGCTTAATTTTCTCAGTCTCTTCATTCTTGATTTCCTTCTTAAATCTTAATTAACGGCTTTGCAATTGTCCCATAAAAGCTCTATTTACAGTAAATCTTCTTAGTATTTTCCCAAGAATTTTAATCCCTTGATGTTATTTAGAATTCTAAATTTTCATGAATTTGTAGAAACTTCAATCTAGTCACAATGGAAGGATAATTGCAAAGCACTCATCTTTTTGCTGGTTCTCTCTAATTTTAGTATTCTTGGAGGCAGAAAAAAAAAAACCCTAATTTAGGATCAATTCATAATCTGGATAAAAACTAGAAATTAGGTCATTTTAGAATTGTAAGATCCATATCCACAGGATTAGTCAATATTCTAATTTTGCAAGTAAAAAATCTGCTTGATACTAAAGTAATACATCAAATGGTTTGATAACCCAGAACCAGAATGCATAGGTAACCTGGCCCCCAATTAAGTCTGTATTGTTTCCACAGTATTCATGTTTCTCACGACCACTATGCTTTAAATATAAATGATATGTGATACATGTTTGTTGGATCCAATTAAGGGCTATAAATGTGAAATACAATTTATTCCAATCCAAAATATCTAGGGATATAAAATTTTACATAGCACTGTATTAATTGTAAAGATCTCAAAGACTCCTGTAAATATTGTAAGGAAGCAGTTTTTCAGTAGACCCTCACAGTGCTTATGGCTTAATGATTTTTAATGACCTCCAAAAATGCTTCAGACCTGAAAAAATGGCTTCAAAATGTAAAAAACATTTCACGTTAACTGTTCTAGCTTTGCAAATTTCAAGGTTACATTAATGAGAAATCACATCTAATCATAAAATAAATCACCTTTTGGCAAATAATTTCAAATGAAAACCTTTTTAAAATAAAACAGTTATTGTTGTTCATGTGGTATGTATGCAGTCCAGTATCATGATACTGGAGAATTCCTAAGAGGTTTTAAACGATCATATTGCAAACTCTTAACAGAGGCCAACTTTATCTTTGCACTCAAGGACGGTCAGCATGCTTACCACATTGTAGTCCCTTGATAATCACAGAAGGGATAATTATTAAAAGCACTGCACGTTTTGTATTTTTTTCTAAATCTTCAATCTGACCCAATCTCTTTTTAAATTATATATTCCTTTGGTAAATATTTCAACCTGCTTCTGATTACAAATCCTGATACTCATTACCATCAGATCCTGTTCCTAGGTCACAGTTTTCTTGAAATTCTTTTTTTTTTTTTTGCTCTTGTTACCCAGGCTGGAGTGCAATGGCGCGATCTTGGCTCACCGCAACCTCCGCCTCCTGGGTTCAGGCAATTCTCATGCCTCAGCCTCCTGAGTAGCTGGGATTACAGGCACGCACCACCATGCCGAGCTAATTTTTTGTATTTTTAGTGGAGACGGGGTTTCACCATGTTGACCAGGATGGTCTCGATCCCTTGACCTTGTGATCCACCCACCTGGGCCTCCCAAAGTGCTGGGATTACAGGCGTGAGCAACCGCGCCTGGCCCTGAAATTCTAAAACAATACCTATTCCGTTACCTCACCTCTTTTAATCAAAGCTTAAGAGATAATTTAGATAATAGATATTTATAATAATAGAAAAAGTTTAAAAATTACTATTTGTGAATGGTTGAGAATGATTGAATCCTAGGTAATAAACTAAAAAAAATCAGATGAATTCAAAATGTTATAAATTGTGTATGTATATACGTGTGTATATATATACACATTATATATCTACATATATACACATGTATATACACACAAATATATATACATACACATATATATATACAAGCATATACACACAAATATACTATATATTATATATACATAAAATATGCTATATATATTTTTAATTGCAAAACTATAAAAATTATTTAATATATGTTGCAATTAAAATGTATAAACATGTTACATATGTACACAAAACATGTTTATAGGTATATACACACACACACACACATGCAAATATAAATGATATAAATGCTAAAGGATAGTCCATAAACAATAATATTCACAGACACACACACACACATTCTTAAGAATTTATAGTGTGAGGCCGAGCACAGTAGGAACCAAGTTGGGCGAATCACTTGAGGCCAGGAGTTTGAGACAATATTGGCCAATATTGTGAAACGCCGTCTCTACTAAAACTACAAAAATTAGCCAAACATAGTGGCAGAACCCTGTAATCCAGCTACTCAGGAGGCTAAGGCAGGATAATCACTTGAACCCGGGAGGCAGTGGTTGAAGTGATCCAAGATCATACCACTGCACTCCAGCCTGGGCAACAGAGTGAGACTGTGAAAAAAAAAAAAAAAAGAAAAGAAAAGAATTTATAGTCTTACTGCTGGTTTGTTAGATTACTTAGGGTAAAAAAAATGCATCTCAAGTACATTTATAGATTTAATGCAGTAATAATTAAAATCTCAATAGAGATACTTTTAAAATTCAACAAAGTAATTACAAAAAACAGATTTTATAAAGCAAGCAATCAAGTTTTAATTTAATAATGAATAATATCAATACTGAGTCATGTGGTTTAAAAAATAGAAGGCAGAAATAAACAAGACTTTATGATAAAATATGAGAGGAATATGAGTTATTGTTCAATGGAAAGTTCAAGGAAAAGTAGGTATCAACAAGCAAAAAATAATATAGAGCCATATTTGAAATTTATGTTAAAAGGAATTCTAGATAAGCTGAATTAAACAAAAAATAGGACTAAGAGGCTTAATCAATTGGATAGTTTTTTTTTTTTAATTGCATGATGCACTTGTACACATACAAATTAAGACAAAAAGAAAAGCTGCAGACCGGGAAAGATTTTGTGGTAAATGTAACTAGCACATGTGAGGAACTAATAAAGTTATTGAACAATACCAGTCTTCACCAAGAAAATGGCCAAAGGGAAAAAATCTAATATTAAAAATTACACACCAAAATCAAGTTACTACCAAGCCTAATCAAATAATAAAATTAAATTTAGAAAAAAGTAAATGTTAGTAAGGTGGTAGAAAATCAGATACAATCATATTACTGACAGCTTTTTGATTAGCAGCCATCTGGCTATTATAGTAAATACCCTAATACTTTATTTTATTCCAAGAATTATTTTTAAGATATAAAGGAATGATTTTAAAATATATTTTTACAAACACAGTTTTATGAGGGGAAAAATAGATTAAAACATTCAATTATTCATAAACTGCTAAGCAGATAAAAGTATGCTAATAAAATACAACTTATGCTTATTAATTTTCTTTCCCTTTACCCATATAGATATGAGATTTAAAAAACTGTATGTGAAAACTTTAAGTGAAGGTGTAACATCCTAGAATATACACATTTGTTCATGGAGATCCATTCAACTATTATTTCATTCCAATTATTTTTTGTTTTTTTGTTTTATATCCATCAGAGTTTGCTTGATAAAGAAGACATTTCTTTTTTTTTTTTTTTTTTTTTTTTTGAGACAGGGTCGTACTCTATCACCCAGGCTGGAATGCAGTGTCATGATCACAGCTCATTGCAGCCTCAGTCTCCTAGGTTCAAGTGATCTTCTCATCTCAGCCTCCTGAGTAACTAAGACTACAGGTGTGCACTAACACACCTGGCTAATTTTTGTATGTTTTGCAGAGATAAGATCTCACTATGTTGCTCAGGCTGGTCTTACAGTCCTGGGCTCAAGCAATCCGCCCACATCGGCCTCCCAGAGTTCTGGGATTACAGGCATGAGACACCACATTCAACCCATTCTTCTGATCTGTCAGCAACTATGCATTAGACTGCAGATGCTGAGCATCAAAAGGTTGAATCTCTACCTTTATGGAACTCACAGTTGAGTATATATTGATAACAATTCTGTAAAGATTAAAAGTCCTATAAAGAGATTTTCTAAGTACTATATACTGATTTGAATATCCTATTTAGCTTCCTACAATAAATTAATATTGAAATTTGAGTGGCTATGGTCAAATCATGATATAGACATGTGGAAAACATAATGGTTCCTTAGACACAATTGTTTCATATTTGTTGTGACAGAAGAGATATAACACTTTTCTGGATAAGTACTGTGAATCATTTTCTGTCCTGAACTGTTTTTTCCGCCCACCTCCTATGTAGTTAACCTTTTAACATTATACTCTTTCATATTCAGTTCTTTGTTTATTGTGCAGAGATATTTTCCCTATGTCTTCAAATTTCCTATCTCTGGAATATTTTAGCCATTTCTGAAACTCCTCTAAGAATGTATGGTTCACAGCACACAACAGAAATCTGAAGGTGATATTATAGAATTAAAGTAGACTTAATGATAGTGAAAGGACTTCAATATTTTAGTGTTCTGGTTTCGCTTTTGGATTTTATTCCAAAACTTTCAGTGGTACACATTCACATTATTCTACAATGTTCCACTGCGATGAGAAAAAAATAATCACTGGCTATGCTTTTAAAGAGCAATAATACGTTTCCTTGTAACTACACCTGTAGATAACTTTTAATTACTTTTTAAAAATAACGTTCTTTAAAATGATATATTTCTGGATTCTAAATATGAAAACCTCATAAAAAAGACAACTT